GCAGTGTCTCCCAGTTGGCGTGGTTTGAGTGGCGTAGTTAGTGTAGTTTTAGGTGTGAGACAGTTTGTATAGTCGTAGATCGTGTCATAATTATTGAAGACAAAACTACCATTGGTGTCGTGTCATAACCTCTCAACATTGTTTCAATTTTGTAATATAATTATGTGTTGCTTTATCTATGTGATCCGTGTTATGACTTGGTACTGTGTGTGTGTGTGTGTGTGTGTGTGTGTGTAAAGAAGAAGTTGTTTATATCGTGTCTCGTCCACAAGCAGTCGTCTCTCTCTCTCTCTCTCTCTCTCTCCAGCTCTAGGGGGTTTTAGAAGGATTTGCCGTCGACGAACACCAAGTTGAGACACACCGCCATCAATCACTGACGTCACCTGCTGGAAGTTGGACCTCAGGGTTTCACCTCATGAGGATTTAGTTCTCAACCCACTCACGAGGATCCTGTCTGGCGAGTTTTACACCTGGTGGGCTCCATGTGTGTGTGTGTGTGTGTGTGTGAGTGTGTGTGTGTGTGTGTGAGTGTGTGTGTGTGTGTGTGTGGTGTCTATGTATACATATATGTACAAATATGTGTGTTTAAATTGACAATCTTCCTGTGTCTAAAATTGTGTATAATAATTTTGGTTTTCAACAATTCCATCGCTGTTTTTTCATGCATAATATTATTAAATTTCACAGACAAATACACTTATATATCTATTCTATATTTCTTTTATATTGTCATTCATTTATATAGTGACCAATTAAGTTAAAAAAACAATTCCATCGCTGTTTTTTCATGCATAATATTATTAAATTTCACAGACAAATACACTTATATATCTATTCTATAACTCTCTATATATTTCTTTTATATTGTCATTCATTTATATAGTGACCAATTAAGTTAAAACAAAAGTAAATACAGAAAAAAATATGTATATTGTTATCATATTTAGTGAAAGTTTGAGAAATATTAGTGTCTTAGGATGATTAGTGAAGTGGACGACTAAGTGTGTTGTGAAGAGTTAAATAGAGTGTGTTGTAGAAAGTTAAGTGTGTTGTGTGTAAAGTATGTTCTGGAGAGATAAATAGAGTGTGTTGTAGAAAGTTAAGTGTGTTGTGTGTAAAGTATGTTCTGGAGAGATAAATAGAGTGTGTTGTAGAAAAGTAATTAACTACATGGTGTTATAGAAAGTTGTAGTGGTTAATGAGTGTGTTGTGAAAATCCCTTGAATTAGATTACACCTTAAATCCTAACAGAGTAAATTATGTACATGACAAAAGAGATTATGTAGAGTTAGTTAAATTAATAATACAATTGAGCTCTGGAAGAATACATTTATTAGTTAATTATTTTGTGGAACTTCTGGAGAATTTGTTATGATGTGTTATTAATGTCAGAATAAATTGTGTACTTTTTCATAGGTGTTTTGTCAGTAGTTACACCTGAGTGCTTCAGTAGATAGGTACACCTGAGTGCTTCAATACACCAGTAGGTACACCTGAGTGCTTCAATACACCAGTAGGTACACCTGAGTGCTTCAATACACCAGTAGGTACACCTGAGTGGTGTGTGAGTGCTTTTCAGTTTCATAGTAGTCAGTAGGTACACCTGAGTGCTTCAGTAGTTACACCTGAGTGCTTCAGTAGCTTCAGTACACCTGAGTGCTTCAATAGGTACACCTGAGTGCTTCAGTTCAGTATACCTGAGTGCTTCCAGTAGGTACACCTGAGTGCTTCAATACACCAGTAGGTACACCTGAGTGCTTCAATACACCAGTAGGTACACCTGAGTGCTTCAATACACCAGTAGGTACACCTGAGTGCTTCAATACACCAGTAGGTACACCTGAGTGCTTCAGTACACTAGTAGCTACACCTGAGTGCTTCAATACACCAGTAGGTACACCTGAGTGCTTCAATACACCAGTAGGTACACCTGAGTGCTTCAATAGTTCACCTGTTAGTCACACATTTCTTAACAAGGGGTAAAGAAAACTACCACTTAGCATAATTACATTTAATATAGATATTCTATAAAGGTATAAAATATCTAAGAGCACTATATTTTGCCTGCCAATATAGCACAACAAAAATATAACAAATTAATCCACAGAGCGACGTGATGAACGGTTGTCCATATATAAGACATTTCCCACTAATAATATAGGTGTTCTCTTATATAAAACTCTCTTTAATTTTTTTAGTAACTGCTAGAATGCATCTGTGACGTCACTGTCTGAAGGTGACGTAATGCATGTGTGACGTCACTCTGAAGATGACGTAATGCATGTGTGACGTCACTCTGAAGATGACGCAATGCATGTGTGACGTCATTTGTTTTGGTTCTAGCTGTTGTAATATACTGTGTGTGTATGACGTCAACTTTGATTATTTTTCACAGTTTAGTCCTGAAAAGCTTAAGTGACGTCATTTGTTATACATATGTATTTTTGATACTGAAACTTATACATTAGATGATATTGTATTTATTTTATTTTGTTTTATT